CAGCCGTGCTGGGCTGAGTCTCGCCGATCCCCAAGACAAGCGAAATAGCATCCGTCCTCCTGGCGAAAGTTCCGTTTGCCTTCGGGGACTAAATCATACAGGTGCACCCTGTCTGATGGGGACTAATGACTGCTTTTGCTCGCGCACGCCTATCGGTTAGTCCCCAGCTTTTGCGCACGGCACCTAGCTTGAACCAGATGGTCCTTTCGGGGAGCAACTGGGAGTCCAGAGAACCAAATGCTGCCGTTAGTCCCTTGAGGCCAACGTGTTTCTTAGAGTGTACCTCACATCGTGATCAAGACGTAAAGAGCGCTCGACAATACGTAGCTTATTTTGCAGTTCGACAAACCCGGTTGTATTTTCTTCCGAATACTCAGTATGTAATCTCGTTGCCCGTGGATTGGATGCATCGCTGTGTCAGGCTGGCGTTATTACCGGCGTTAATTTCTGTGGTAATTAGGAAATATGCAACCTGTATTTGGAAGCGAGAAAAGGGCAGGAGTGCCCCCAGTTACCACGGTGTCTCTGGACAACTCTCTCTGGCATTTTGGAGGAGAGAACAGCTCTAATCGATGTTCACGCGCACGTTTTGCAAAGCCACAAAATCAGTATATTTTTTAGTTCGGTCTTTCGGAGAGGTGCGCTACTTTATTTAGTTGGCCGGCGCACTGCACATTTATAATTAACTGAACGGTATCTTAATGCTTCCAATTTCAGTGTACGGTCAAACAGCTAAAACCTAGTATTTCTCAATGTTAAATCTCGCTTCTTCTTTCACTAAGAAGCTTCAATTAAACACTAAATAATAACAAAAAAGGCTCCCAGTCACGAGGAAGCTCGCATTTCGAACGCATTAGCCTCCACGATTGACTGGTGCCATTGGCAGAGGTGAGCTCATTTAACTTTGTATTTTCAAACCTTGCTATTCCATACCGATTCGCTTTTTCAAGGCAGGAGAGTTGTGTTTTAGTGGCACCTCAGAGATGGGTATCCAGGGGCGCCTAGTACAAGGCGCCTAAAATAGAACCGTGTTTTTGGCCAGCGTAAATGTACCGCACATCGGAGAGAGCTGAAACCTTGTGAAATTGTGGAGCTAGCGGTCGGCGGAGAAAGCGAGAGTTTAAGAACGTGCTGTTAACTGGGTTAAAAAGTAAAAGGGGAGAAAATATTTATTTTTGAGCCCACGTCTATCTAAGCACGATATTGTCAAAGGAAGAAATACTTTTGCAGGCATCTATAAGGTATACTTTACTGGAGGAACCAGTAAGCAAGGAAGCAATATTCCTTTTCTTGCCGCCAAGATTTTTGTCGCCGATAGCGAAATGCGAAACACGCGAAATGTTAGCTGTGTTTCAGTGTACCATGTACAGGTCAGTGTACCATGTAATGTCTGAACGAACGTTGCTCATGAAAGAAATTCGCCATCTTCACCCGATTTTGGTAAAGACGTTGACCCGTGCTGAGCTGAGTCCCGCCGATTTGCAAGACGATCGCGAAATATTAGCTGTATTCCAGGTGAACGTTCTGCTTGCCTTCAAGGACTAAATCATAGTGCACCTAGGGAGCCTTCATGTGCGCTTTGCTAGGGTGATGCCACCCTTTGTGATACCACTCGCCGACAAACCTGCAGCCATTTTGGCCTTGGAGATAATCCGTGGGGCTTATAACCCTCCCGGTAACAAGCACCTTATCTCACAAGTTCGGAGAAGCGTTGTGGAACCCATGGAAGGAGGATTAGCATTTTCCCCCTCGGATGGGAGGACCGATGGACACAAAGGCCACTTTCCGGCGCACGAGAAAACATTGAGGAACAAAATGGCGGTGGAAGAGGGTGTGGGAAAGGGAAACAGGCAGTTGGCATCAGGGTGGAAAGTTGGGCTAGTTGGTAGTTATTCATATTGGTTTTAAAAGCGCACAAAAGAGGACAGAGTAAGAAACACAAACGAGCGCTCGTCCGTCGCTTGTGTTTCTTACTCTGTCCTCGTCTTTTGTGCGCTTTCAAAACCAAAATGAGTTGGCATCACTCTATGCGAAGCGCACATGAAGACACCCTAAGTGCACCCTGCCTCTAGAGGCAGGCACATAGCCAGGAATTTTTTTTTTTTTTTTTTTTTTTGGGGGGGGGGGGGCGTTTATGACAAATTGTTGTATGAGGGTGTGTGGGGAGAGGATGCAACAGCAAAATGAAAGATTTCGGGGGTGGGCGGGCCCCATGGCCTCCCGCTTTTGGCTACGTGCCTGTCTGGAGGACTGATGGTTGACCTTGTTCGCGCACGCCTCTCGGTTAGTTCCAAGCGAGTGGAGATAGTCCCCAGCTTTTGGCGCAGGGTACATAGCTCGAACCAGAGGTCTTTTCGGGGACAAAATTTAAGTTCATAGGAACAAATTGTGCCATTTACTATTTGAGACCATATTTTCTTTGGAGTGTGCAGCATATTGGTCAATAAAAAACATATAAGTGCAATTTTACACAGTATTCGTTTGACCAGTTGAGATGCCACTGTTAAATGCAAACATTTTATTGTTCTAATGTTAACAATAACGTGCTTCATGATCAATATTAAAAATGCACTTTAATTGTGACTATTCTTTGTGTTGTTGCTCGTAGTCAGCACAACGAGTTCGTCTGATGTTATCTCCTTTTTTGTAGCTGTACACTACATTTTGAAATAAGAAAGACTCGGAAGATGACGCTTTTTCTATAACTCGTTTTCGGACTCTCTTTGCAGTTCATGAAAAAGAAATGTTTCTTACGGTGGTATTCATTCTCGCTTCGCTCACGGAAGTTGTACCAGCGAGCATTGATGAAAGGGACGGCGGATATAATGTCGTCGTTGCTCTTCACAATTCTGTACCACCTTCTAATTCGATCATCCAGAATACCAAGGTACTCAAGTAACACCTTAGGTTAAGGTTCTAAATGCCTAGTGTTTTGGTTGTCACGTGGCTTCCTTGGGCCTCTGTAAGCCGATGAAATGCCCAGAATTAGGCTTCAATGCTGATTTCTTGGTTAAAACGTTGCTTATTTGGCTCATGTTTGGAATTTATCCACTATGTGGTGAGCCAGAAAAAGTCATAGAAAAGCAAACGACAGGTTATTTGACACTAAATAATGCTGAGGCAACATAGTGTCATTGCAGAGGAAGAAGAACGGGAAAAGGGTAGGTGGTAAGTCGTAACTTGGGATTATTTTGTAAGGAAGGACAGAAGGAAGAAAACACCGCATTACACACATTCGCACGTGCATTCCTCTCACACTGCCCATGATAGCTAATCATATTTGCACGTACAAGGGCCCCACCGTCAACTTCAGGAAAACTATTTTGATGCTCGACCGAATCACTGATGCTTCACTAATGCCTTCACTAATGTCTTTCCATGTAGATATAGTATACGCTTCGAGTACCTCCCCTGTCCAATCGCGCTTGCACCTTCCCAAGATAGTTGTGTTTCTTAAGCACGGTTGGCATAAAGAAAAAAGGTAATTCTATCTTCTTTTATGTGCTATGTTGCCTCAGTGTGTTCAGTGATTACAAATTAGCCCAGATATCAGCCTTCTTATTAATTAATCTCTTGGCTCAAAAGCTTATTATGCCTTAGTTGGAACACTGGGATTGCCAAACGTAGATCAAATATGCACTCTTTTGGCGTACTGCCTAGGAAACGTTTACTAACATCCAGTATTTGACTCATTTTTCAGTTTCCGTACTTATGTAATTCACCTTTAGGATGACGTTATATCAACGACAGTTATTGCAGAGTAACGTTCCATAAAGTTTCTTAATATGGGAGCTTGGGCGAGTGGTAATTCACATTGGGGTTAGAGCGCGCAAAACAAGGAAAAAACGAGACACACGAAGAGACAAACACAATCGCTGACTATCAACTTCTTTGTATTTCTTTTCTTATTCCTATTTACGAAACTGGTTTAAATACACTCTCAAGAAAAAAGGGTGTCAAAGGGTGTATCGTTACACACTTTGTCCCATATATTCCACCCAAAATGTTAATTCGACGTACAGCGCCCTACAGTCGAACAGACGGCCCGAACTTTTACGAGTGGCTTGATAGCCGTGTGGTACAACTTATTAAAATGGCTAATGTACGTGTTGCTGACTACGAAAAAAATAATCGGGGTTTTCTTGGCCCTACTGTAAAAACTCGGTGTTTTCTTTCTGTAGTCTTTGAAACGTACTTTAGCTTGTAGAGTCCGGTGCCACTGCTCGCCCGCAAGAAAGACACGCAAGCCAGGACATAGCAAAAACACACCTTTACTTTGTTCCGGTCCCTTCGAGTCTCTGTCCCGCGAGCACCCTCGTGAGCCACGCACAAGACGCTCGAGCTCGCGCCCCGTGCCCACGGTTTGTATCGGCCACTGCCGCGCTACTGCACACTCCGCATGTCGCTTGCCACACACTTCCCCCCCCCCCCCCCCCCCCGCAGCCCGCGGCGTTAGGAACTGTTCTCAGAGTTGCTCGTCGTCATCAATGTTTATCGCGATCTCCACAGCATCTGGTGGTGACGGGTCTGCGTGGGATGGGGGGCGGAGGAGAGCAGGACGGAGCCTCCTGATAACGGCGATGGCGCGTGCTAGTTCGTCGTCCCTCATCCTTTCGAGGTGTAAGATGGCTGCCCTTGCGGCGGCTGCTGACTCCCGCGAGCGATGAAGTGCTCCAGCTCTGTGGGTACGGCGGTGGATTTCTGGCACCTCGCAGAGCGGGCACAGGAGTCGGCGCTCGTCATCCGTGTAACTTTGTGGTGGGTTCGCCGGGCGGTGGGTGTTCAGCGTGAAGCCTCTGAAAGGTTCAGGCACTTGGGCGTCCATGTCAACCGTCAAAGGGCGCGGCTGGTCGTGCCAAGCGAGGCTGGACGACCAGGCCACTGGGTGTCCGTGGTTGTCGAGGGTGCCCCAGGTGGCGGTAGACCGCTGGTGCGATCGTCTGGATCCCCGGCGGTGGTGGTTGTTCGGGTTGTCTCGTCCCCTGGGCTGGTAGTAGCGTCTGGGTCGCCAGTGCCGGGGTGGTGATGGGGACCGTCTGGCAGCCTGATTGACTCGCGGCATGCTTGGAAATCAGTAATAAAAAAAAAACAGGATGTCAGTAATGTCCATTACAAAAAAAGCAAACGTCTTCTACGTAAACGCAAGAACAGGTGAGCTAAGCTCGCGAGAACAGTCAAATGTATACCGCTCAAAGTCGCGCGCAATCAATCAAAATAGGCGGTAAAATGCTGGTTCTCGGCTAAACCCATTGTAATCTTCTTTCTATAATCTTCGTCTTCGTCACCGACGTTGAAGTCTTCGAGAGTGTAGGCGGTAAACTAAGTACCAGCCAGATCAGCAACACTTCCCACCTGCGAGAGAAGTTCATCAGCCGAATCATAATACTGCTTGAGGTCGGTGACATGAACAGGTCCCGTGAGTCGCCCAGACTCACAGTCGACGAGCGTGTACGTGAGGCGTGAAGCTTTCTTACGTACTCTATATGGACCGTGCCACCTATCAGCCAGGGATGCCGTGAAACCTCTGGCTGCGTTACTAAGTGGGTGTGTCCGGCGCAGCACCAAGTCTCCAACGTGGAATTGCACGTCCCGGTGGCCACGATTGTACTGCTCAGCCTGTTGCAGTCGGGCGACGTCCAAGCTCTCCCGGGCATCACGAACGATGTCCCTGAGTCTCAGTCGTAGATTGCCTGCAAACTGGCCATAGGAGCGAGAAGCACCCGGATCGTCGACAGAATAACTATTTTCGAGCGGGAAAGTCAGCTCTTTGCCAAAATTAAGGCGCGCGGGTGTGAAACCTGTAGATCGGTTAACCGTGGTTCGGGTTGCGAACGCGAGTTCTGGAAGCTTCGCGTCCCAATCCCGGTGGCGCTCGGTGTGAGCGATCAACATCGACTTCAAATTTCGGTTTACCCGTTCGGTAATATTTGCCTGCGGGTGATAGGGAGACGTTCGCTTGTGTTGTATGTCCAATGCGGCACAAGAGTCTCGGAACACTTTGCTGGCAAAGTAAGTAGCGTTGTCGCTAATCAATTTTGCCGGAAATCCGAAGCGTGTGAACGTTTCCATCAGACACGACCAGATTTTCTTGGACGTCAGCGATCGCAATGCAAATAGCTCCACCCACTTGCTAAAATGATCCGTGACAACCAACAGGTACTGGTTGCCACGCGGACTGCGTGGGAAAGGGCCCATGACGTCGACAGCGACGCATTCCCATGGGGATCGACTTACGACTGGCTGCATTAGACCAGGGGGCTTACCACCGCGCGGTTTGGCTTTCTGACAAACCGGGCATGAACGAGCGTACCTCAGCACGTCCTGACGAATTCCTGGCCAAGTTGCAGTACGGCTTAACTTTTCGAAAGTCTTGCAGCCACTACTGTGACCAGCCAAAGCAGAGTCATGGTAGTATCTAATGAAGGACGTGCGAAGTCGGCGAGGTATCACGGCTCGAAATGGAGTGTCTGTGGAGCCACCCTCCTCGTCGTCGATCTGAGGTATGTACCGGAGGAGCAGACCATCTTCGGCCAGCAAGTACGAGTCAAAACCCATGTCAGCGTCTCTGTTGCCACGTCGGTCTCGTGAAGATAACCACTCAGAGACCCTGCGACAAAGTCCATCATTCTGCTGTGCAGCACAAAGCTCATCTAGGCTAATCAAAGTACCCCAGCGCGAGCCAGCATCTATCGCAGCCACAACATTGGCATCCTCGGGCACGTGCTCTTCGCCGAGCGGAGCGCGCGACAAAGCGTCTGCAACTTTGTTTTGTGAGCCTGGCTTGTGCACAATGGTGTAGTCATATTTTTGAAGCGTCAGTGCCCAGCGTGCTAATCGACCTGCCGGATTTTCCAAACGCTGAAGCCAGGACAAGGCTGCATTATCCGACTGGATCACAAAGCGCGCGCCATCAAGATACATATTGAATTTCTGCAGGGCGAATATGATGGCTAGGCACTCAAGCTCGCAAACGTTGTAATTTCGCTGAGCTGCTGTCAACGTATGGCTAGCAAACGCTACGGGTCGTAAGACACCATCAAAGTCTTGAAGCAGCACAGCACGTAAACCGTAGCCGCTCGCATCGGTTTGCAGCACAAACGGACGGTTGAGGTCTGGGAGCTTCAAAGATGCTGTCTCAGCAATAGCTCTGGACAGTTGAAGGAAAGCATTTTGCTGTGCCTCCGTCCAACGCCATTTGACGCCTTTGCGCAGCAGTTCGTTCAGAGGCCGCGTTATCTCTGCACAGTGGGGAATAAACTGGCGGTAGAATCCAACCATGCCAAGAAATCTCTGCAAACTCTTTGCATCATGTGGGGGAGGAAACTCAGTTATGGCCCTCAGCTTGTCCTCATTAGGGCGAAGCGATCCATCGTCGATTACAAAACCGAGCAGGTTAATCTTAGATGTTGCCAGTTGCATTTTTCCCGGGTGAACTGTCAAACCAGCATTCTGCATGCGTTCGAGAATAGTCCGAAGGTGCACAAGATGTTCTTCAAACGTGCGTGAAAAGACTACTACGTCATCCATATATGCCATGGCGTAGTTGTGCCGTGCGTCTCCAAGCACAATGTCCATAAGACGCTGGAATGTGGCAGGAGAGTTGCTCAAGCCGAAAGGCATGCGCACAAACTCGTACAACCCTCTGTAGCATGTGAATGCTGTTTTCTCAATGTCAGCGGGCTCGACCTCTATCTGGAGGAAACCGCGACTGCAGTCAAGAGTCGTGAAAAAACTCGCGTTTCCCAAGTTGTACATGATCGACTCAATCGACGGGTACGGGTACGCGTCACGAACGGTTGCCGCATTCAGGCGTCGATAGTCGACGCAAAGCCGAGCCGTTCCATCCTTCTTGGGGGCAAGGACGATCGGGAAGGCCCAAGGGCTCTGCGACTCACGTACGGCACCCGTGTCGATCATCTCTTGGAGCGCCTTGTCCAGCAGGGCTCGCTTGTGTACGCTGATTGGTCGAGGGTTGCAGCGTAGGGGCCGTGTATTCACGGTGTCAATTGAATGCTTCAGGACACCGGTTCTGCCGGGGTTCTCCGTGAACATCGGCGAAAACTCCTCCAGGAGTCTTTGGAGACGCCGCTTTTGCTGGTCCGTCGCAGGACAGTTTTGCAAAGAATCGCTTATCGCACATGGGAGTCGCAAAGCAGGCGTTCTAACGCCAACGTTATCGACACTGACGATACAATCCTCTCGTCTGGTAAATGGGATCAGTTTCGAGTCACTACCTAACCGGTAGCCTTTGTTCGGAAAGTCCAGAACCAGGTTCTCCCCGAAAATGAAATCTCGTCCCAAAATAATCGGTACCGTGAGACCAGGTAAGCAAACGAAACGCTGACGGCGTTTTTTCTCGTTGAACTCGATCTGTAACCTCACGGCTTGACTCGCGAGCATTTCTGGTCCTGACGCTAGCTGTAAGCGCACGTTAGTCTCACGCAGGTTAGCTTTCTGCTCTTTGCAGCGTTCAATCAGGTAGTCCCCAATAAGTGACAGACTCGCACCGGTATCAATCAGCGCTGCCACAGCTATTCCGAGCACTGTAACTGTCATACGAGGCTCAATTAGCTCAGGGTCAGGCTGGATTCGACATACCGATGGTAGTGCTGCCGGGTTGTCCATGGTCACCGCGGCCGGCGGGCGCTCAGGGGTCAACGCCGTCGGCCGTGCTGGTTTTCCGAGACCGCAGGACGGTTGCCCAACAAATCCGGGCAGTCTCGGCGGAAGTGACCTTGTCGGCCGCAGCCAAAGCAGCGCACCGAAATGCGGCGGTCAGTGTCGCGTGTCTGGCTGCTTGGAGCCTGTCGTTGTGTCCTGTTGCTTCCCTCGTTGGGCCAGCGATCCGCGCCCCGGAGCGAATCACGGGGGAAGGACCTTAAACGGCTTTCACCCTGCCGTAGTCTCGATCCAGCCGGCCAGGCACTAGGCCGGGGGTCCAAGCCACCGGGTGGTGCTCTCCCGCGCTCCCGCTGTCCAAAGGCGTAGGGGTCCAGCGCGCGGGGGGGAAGGACCGCGCCATACTCCTGGGGTTGGCGCTGAGTCGGACCTCCTCTGGGCCCGGGAGCTGACCAGGCACAGGACGGTTCGAGAGCTTCCTCGGGCGGCGGTGGCGGCCGGTACTGGAGCTCTGCCAGAAGCGTCTCTTGGATGCCGCGAGCGTCCCGGGCCAGGTGCTCAAGGGTCTCGTAGGTGCGGCCATGTAGGTAGGGTCGGAATCTGGGATGGCTCTGCTGTACGACCCGAGCAACCCTGTCCGACTCTGGTGTCGTTGGGCAGGCCCTATCGAAGAGCTCCTGCATCACCCGGACGTATTCGACCAGGGTCTCGTCCGGGTGCTGGGTTCGGCGCTCCAGTTCTCGCTGAACTCGAGACTGGTACCCAGGCGGAAGAAATTCGTCCTGGAACCTCCGCCGAAAGTCTTCCCAGGACAGGAACGGGGCCACGATGCGCCACCAGCGGGCTGCACTCGCCTGCAACGCAACGGGCAAAACGCGCGCGAGGACGTATTCGTCCGAGGCGCCCGCAGCAAGCTTGTAGGCCGCCAGCTCTGCGAGGAAGTCGGCCACGGACTTCCGGTCGTCGTAGCCGGTGTAGGTTGGGACCGGCACCTGGGGACGCGGGCCACGACCTTGAAGTCCCGGGTCAGTCAGCAGCAGACGTTGTGTGACCGTGTCACATAGGTTGGCCACCCGAGCCATAAGGCCTTCCGCGTCCGGCTCGTCTCCGCTCTCGGATTGGTCAGCGGCGGCTCTGCGGCGGCTCATCGCGAAAGTGGCCGCGAAAAGGAAAAACACAAAAACCGAACAAGAAAGAACACAAAGGAACAGAAAAAGAACACCTAATATACACTATGCACAGTAGAGACGAGGGCCAAGCCGCGATGGCAAAGGTGGCGTCCGGTGGCCGAAGCCTAGTCGAACGGCCACGTAGGCCTAACGGGCAGGGCAAAGTCAAAACGGGAAAAACCCGGCTAAAAACGCCTAAAACAGGCTAAAAGGCCTGCGGTCCATCCCACGGGAGAGCAGTAGGCCCCGCGTCAAGCGCCAAATAATGTAGAGTCCGGTGCCACTGCTCGCCCGCAAGAAAGACACGCAAGCCAGGACATAGCAAAAACGCACCTTTACTTTGTTCCGGTCCCTTCGAGTCTCTGTCCCGCGAGCCCCCTCGTGAGCCACGCACAAGACGCTCGAGCTCGCGCCCCGTGCCCACGGTTTGTATCGGCCACTGCCGCGCTACTGCACACTCCGCATGTCGCTTGCCACAAGCTATATAATATGTTATGTCAGACCGTTATCAAGCCCCTCGTAAAATTTGGGGCCGTCTGTTTGACTATAGAGCTCTTTACGGTCGAAATGAAGTTTTGGGGTGTATTATATGGGACAAAGGGTGTAACGATACACCCTTTTACACCCTTTTTTCTTGAGAGTGTATCAGATAGTTATAAATCAAAACAAGGAAAAAAATGCAAGCCTTCTCGCACGCCATTGCGGTCATGGCGCTAAATATTCTTATTCTTCTTTCAGATAGCGTTAGTGATGGGCTCCTGACACAATTCGCTTCTAGTCGCACGATCATATCTGCCTCCATTGTTTCTCTGGTGAGCGGGTTCTTACTCATAGCTATGACGGTACTTTTCTCGAAATCTGCTGAGCACCCGCAATGCCGGCAGTGGATGTAGAGATGTCCAGAAATGACTTTGTTGGTGTTATAGACGCTTTCAGGCAGCTGTGCATGGGCGCCGCCATAACCGACCTTCAGTTACTGTTCCCTCTTAATCCGTTCGCTCTATTTCATGATTACCACAGCAGTACAGGTTATTGCCATTTTAAGTGATATTGTGCCCTTCTCCCCAGCCACGGCCGGCCTGGAAGCGCGCGCTCTCTTTCTCTTCTTACGGCCTTTGCTATCCCCAGGAGTCAATGGCATTTTTTCTATGTATGCAGTTAACTTCCTTGCCACCAGGGGCGCAACCACCTCACCCCACTTCACCCCACTCGGAGAGTCCCTTCGAGGTGCTATCTGCTATCTGGTGAAGCTCATTAATGAGTCTTGGTGCGCCGCCTGTGTTAGCTGTTGACTACGAGTAACAGATGTGATCCTCTGTTCGTTTTATTGCAAGGCCAGGATGAAAGCGGACTTCATTATCCAAATCCCAGGTTCCTTGCATTTCTGGACAACACTGTTGCTTTTTTAATTTGTTTAAAGGCTGTTAAACACCTTCCGCGCACAAATGGGCACGAAGTTCTGCAACTATACTCATTGCACCCTATCGTGAAGACGCGCTAATCCTAAGTTGGGCACAGGGCATTGACAACATCACTCAAAGCGCTTGGCTGGTTTAATTTGCAGCACGTTCCTCAGAATGCTTCTGATTAACCATGCAAAAACGGCCACGGACAGAAACGAAAAATCAGCTGGATATGTGCACAAGCCCTCGGAGAAGCACTTTAGGCTGTAATATCCACTGTGCGAAAATTGTACAGACTACTCACCCACGTCTAGAGCAGCTGACCGACTTCATGTGCGGCCTATCAAATGATAATGCAGACCGCGGCAATACATAGATTGGACCTGCTTACATTTCACGAGAGTGTACGAATTATTTATCATTTAAAGTTCCTCCACGGAGAGGGGGTTTGTCTCCTCCTGTTTTTGAGTTGCAACAGAATTCGTGGAGGTAAAGACAAGTATGGTTTTTCCGCAATTGCATTCGCTGTCTCTGCTTACTACTTTTTACTCCCGAATGTCTCGGAGATGTGCGTCAAATATTCACCGTTTTGGGCTCATCAGAAGCGCGTTAAATAGTGGCTGAGGACAGGGTGTCGAACCGGAACCGAACCGAACCGAAAACCGGAACAGAACCGTTATTTTTAGCCGAACCGGAACTGAACCGAATCGAAATTTTCGCCGCCATCTTGGAACTGAACCGGAACCGAACCGAAAAAAAATATAACGGTAACCGGTTCAAAACGGTTCAAAGTAATATTTTTTTTCTTCGTTGCTAGTATCACAAAATGAACATATGGGAATAAACAATTGGCGGCTGTATTTCTATCTGTTGATCGAATCGTCATATACATAATTGCAACGTATGATAAATTGTGGGTTTTCATGGCACCTTTGTTGGCGCTATGATTAACCATGTGTCAAGTTGTCACGTGTCGTCATGGTGTCAATACATGTTGTCAAGTAATGTCACGTGGCCTCGTGACGTCACGTAACTCACTGCGTTAAATCGATTTAATTTGAGGAAGTCACTAGATGTATTAACCTTGTTGACAGCATGATGTAACATGACATCACGATTTCGCACGGAGAGTCACGTGACACCGTGACGTAAGCGATTTTCATAACCCCTAGTCGAGTGCTCGGGTTCATGACAATCAGCATGGCCAAACATTCAGGTAACGGCTCATGTCAACTAGATATGATAATCAATAGCCCAACACTAACAATATCTGAAGCTCAACCCAAACTTTTGCTTTGCAAACCCTTACAGCCTAGGGTATGACTGCGATGAACACTGGCGGTATATAATTTGGGTCAGATCACGTGGCCGCTTGTTCAAATTGCGAGTTGAGGAGATATCGACAGCTGTCTCTGTCCTTTATTTTTTCTGCATCTGTTATTAGGGGAAAACTAATGGATGTTTCCGCAACCTATCAACGTCACGGGTTATTTCTTAACACTATTTATTGAAAGTACAAAAAAAAATGTTGCAAGACCAATTTTACATTATTGAGGCATTGAAACATTTTTTCGTTGTTGCTGAAGTATATCCGAAAGATGTCCCTGAGAATAGAAGTTTTGAAATGACTAAATGCGACTTATTAATATGACGTTACATAGAACTACACGTGTGTACGGAAGGAATACCTAAAAAAAGATATTTTAGTGACGTGAGAGGAACAGCCGAACGTTGGCAGTCGCTGCAAGTCTCACACAAGCGTCGCTCTCAAGTTATTGCCCAAGTTTCGACCCCTCTGAATTTTGTTTAGATGAGCGTTAACATATTTCTATACATTACTAAATACTACTCAGTATGAGTCCCTAACGTTAATAACTGATTGAACTTGGCTTTGCTCTTTTTTCTAGGCAATGGTAGTCGCCGAAAAAATTAGAGAAATATGAGCATCGTTCATCCCCTCAACTCGGAGCCAGAAGCGGCCACGTGGACTGGTGCCTATCTTATGCCGCCAACGTTAATCATACCCCCGCGCTGGAGTTTTAAAGGAAGAAAACGCGTGCTGGAGCTCCAGGCATTGTTAGAGTTTGACTATTCTCATCACCACAGTGGTTAAACACGAGCCACTACCCAAGTGTCCGCCGAGGCATTGATTGTTACGAGCCGATGTACGGTGCTCACACAGTTCTCCTGCCCAATCCATGAGTCGCGCTCGACTGTCGACAGGCGGGTGGTTTTGATCCCACAATTACGACATCAATCTTTGAGAAGGCAAGACTAAAAGAAATAGTCTCATTCAATCCTCGCAATTTCACCGCGACAAAGAAGCTTCTGAGTCAGTGGCGCCCTGTGCGAGTACACTTGGACCAGGGGACCAGTATGCCTCGGAAAAGTCATGCACATTCCAACCCGATATCGTTTCATGACCCCTTTAAATTGTCGAATTAACAGACACAAACGAAGGAGGCATTTCCTCAGGAATACTTTCAGCCTTTCCACTCTGGTGAAGAAGGAAGGCCAGAAATGCTGTACTATGGTGCGAATGAAGTAACGGCCGGCCGCAAGTCGGCAAGCCAGACTGGAAAGGCTGAAGGGTTTGCCGCCATTTATGAGCGACGGTGGCAACCAAACAACTGGCAAGCCGGTTGTCTGGTTGCCGTCGCCATTTATAGATGGCGGTAACGCATGACTAGCCCTTAACAGCACCACTGTATAAAGAAGTGCGTCTGTGTGTGGGGCCGGGTGGGGGGAGGGGGGGAGTTTTAGAAACATACTGTGTTGTAAAGGTTCCTCTTCCCTGCATCTTTGGCGCAGACCAAAAATAGTGACCCTGGAAACTACTTTGATTGGAAAAGCGCTCTTGCCAAGAAGCACGTTTTTGTCGTGCCACACGCTGGCGCCGTTCCTCACGACGATGCACTAAGAATAATAGTACTAGCCCTTCAAATACTTTTCTTTCGCTGAGCTTGCACCTCCTGCAGCGTGCCTTTTGCACCGTCGAATTCGACTTTCTCAGCAAGAAGGAATCAGAATGACCACCAGCCTATAGTGTGATAACGTCATGTGCATACCATGCTAAATAGTTCAGCTTTCTGGTGAAATATGATGTTCGCAACACTAGCCATAGATGTCCTAATTGTAAATTTGTGAAGTATTTATAGCAGTCTCGCGATGAGATATGGCAGCCTAGAGAAATGTTAGAACGCATGACCATTCTAGCATAGTGCTGTAAAGTGAGGGCCCAAAACAAGTGCAGGTAAAACCGAATATAACATTTGCCTCCCGAGGCAGTATTTCGGAAGTTTCAAGCTCATACAAGCTGATGCAATGTAATATATTGAGATTTCAAGAATCTTTGTCTGTCCTTCGGGCTATTTATGTAAAATCATGAATATCATTGCGTGCATCTTTACGCATCTCTTTTTCGCAGTAAGGCGTTCTGGAAGGGATTATTTGGAAAACATAACATTAATTATCTCTCTCTTTTTGAACATTTCGTGTATTTGACTTCCAATTCATCATGTGAG